CTTTACACTGCAGCTCAAGGGCTAGATATCAGCGCCGTCAAACTAAGCTTTTATTCCCTTCTTTACAGATATTTGTCCCGCCTTTATCCTCCGTCCCCAAGATAGGGCCAACAATCTGTATCAAAGTGTCAGCAGTTCAACACAAGTAGTTTAATCCAATTCCATAAAGTTTAACTGAGAAAAGGGACTCTGACCTACAATGTGTATGCTTTTATGTGATGTAAGAATGATACAATTTCCTGCAAGAATTTCTTTAAAGGGTTCCTATGTGTGTTCAAATCTGAAGCTGAACTACAGCTCCAAACCTTGGTGAGGCTTATTATTTCTGCCACATGCTGTGAGACAAAAACCCTAGTTGTAGGGCAGTTATTTATGGAGCAGCCGTAGCTAGCTGCACGTTTAACTAATGCAATTCTTTAAATCTCTGTAATGGACAGGTGCATGCTGGTCTTTGTCTGGGAGTCCTGGGTGTGACAGCAGCCTCATTACTCTGAGCAGGCAGGAGTCAAAGCAGGACACACGAACACACACAAAGAAGCACACTGATGGCAGCATGCAGAGCATCTGACTTTCTGTCAGGACGTGTGTTTGTGTCAGGATCGAACACATGGGGACTTTAAAGGGCAGCACATGTGTACAAAAAAACCTCTTGCAGATTCCTCAAGTTCCTCACTTCTTCACCATTTGACTGCGTGCATGCAGGGTAGGGCTGCACGATATGACAAAATATGCAATAAGGTTTTTGCATATCACAATAATGATTTATCTTGCTATAAATACACTGATAGTAGAGTCAGTCCTGCCTTTCAGTGTCCTGCTAAAATACAACTTATTGCATGCGTAAACAAGCCCAAATGTGTGACATCTGCGACCACAAACATTAATGCATCCACACATTCATACTCAACCTCACAAACCCTTGACCTAAATTCCAAAATGTTAGCTTCATGGTGAAAAATGTTGTCTCCAAGGGGTGGGGAAGTGTTTGCAGACCAACAGAACTGTCCGTCTATAAAAAAAATTAAAAAATTAAAGAAACCTTAGGACAGACGTGCAATAGATGCCGTCTGTGCAGAATAAACAACAAACGAAAACTACATACAATCGAAATGACTAAATGCCAAATGCCAGAGGGAAACTTCCAGGGACATCAGGGTTATCTCTGCTGCCTCGTGTAGCTCGGATAGCAAGAGGGTAAATTACAAATGTTCTGCTCCGATCTGCATCTTACTTTCAGCACACACACACACACACACACACACACACATATCTTCTAAAGCTCCAATTAATCACCTTTAATTGCAAACTAAACACATGGAGGCGACACAGCCGGACTCAGATTACATTCTGGATTCATGAGGGACCTCTGATGACAAACCATGAAGAGAGCAGAGTTTCGACACAACATTTACTGATTTAATGAGATTTACTGAGATTACTGCAGACGTCCTGACACCACATGAAAACCCTCTGACACCGATGTGAACAGACAGTCACGCGCTTTAAATTATCATTTAAAAACGGACTTTAAGACGCAGAATTGGTTATAAAGGCGGATTCTAAATGTTGGAGACTTCTTGAGAAGGCTCCATATATTTGATTTGTAACAGAAAATAATGGTTCTAGTTTTTTTATTTATTCATGTCCAAAAATATATAATATGACAGTAAGATGAACTGAGACACACACACACACACACACACACACACACACACACACACACACACACACACACACACACACACACACACACACACACACACACACACACACACACACACACACACACACACACACACACACACACACACACACACACACACACACACACACACACACACACACACACACACACACACACACACACACACACACACACACACACACACACACACACACACACACACACACACACACACACACACACACACACACACACACACACACACACACACCACACACACACACACACACACACACACACACACACACACCTCAGAGGGATAGTGTTGCCATGGCTGCAGGTGCTTCAGCTCCACACACAGAGAGAGAAATGGTTCTCAGAGATCGAGCGAGAGCACAGCTTGTACCAACAACACTTCCACGATGGCGCAGATAAAAAAATCCTTGAGGGAGAACTCCCAGATCTTATTAAATGATACGAGAGGGGGCACATTTAGGAGTAACAGGTTTCTGTACTTCCTCCTGCAGACATATCAAACACAAGATTTAACAACCAGATTTCATCAGATTTAATATATGAATGTGTGTTTAGGTGCATTGTTCTGTACTTGGATGAGAACTTTTTTCAAATGAATCTTTAGCTATCTAAGTAGTGGAAGCTGAAATAGTCATTAAAACCTATGCATATCAGATCTCTGGTCCGTTTGTCTGTTTTTCAGCCGGATTACTAGAATACTACAAGCCTGATTTTCACAAAACTTGATCAAAGAGTGAAGCTTGGGCCAAGGCAGAACATGTTACATGTTTGAGCATTTTGTCTGTTTCACAGCATGTCATATGTTTGGGTATTTTTGACGGATACAACAAGCTATTTAAAAGCTTTTGTGTTGGTACCTGTACATTGTAAAAGTCTTTTTTAATCAGCAGCTGTAAGCAGCCACAGTTTTCACCCAATGAAGCTACAATTTGCCATGGAGGTCAAGCTTTTAGGTTGTCAATGCATGAACGAATGGATGCATGCACGTAATTGGACACAGCCATTTCAAAATCACGCTTGTTTTACAGTTTTCTGCTATTTAGAGAAGGCAGGTAGCGCCCCACCAAAGGCAACCAACTCTTCGGGGTTATTTCAATATCAATCAGAGTTTAACAGCCAGTAATGTAAGAACATACTGTAGGGAACAACCAGATTTCAGAGAAAGCCTGCAAACAATTGTTGTTACTGTAACTAGCCAGCTAACTAACATCAGTAACTATCACTTCCTGTGAGGGCTCAGCAGCCGTGTGCGATTTCAGACAACACTTCACGGTCAAAACACAGTGGTGTTCACAGTGTATGCCATGGCAGTGTACTAAGGAAGAATCCAACTAGAAACAGAGCACATGTACAGTATGCATACGTGACACATGAGTCTCCAGTATGTCTGCAGGACATGGAAACATTTGTTCCCTGATGAGCGCTGTGAGGAACTCCCTGAAGCTCTGAAACATGTTGTCCGTCCTGTTCGCTGCCATCTGCTGCCGAGCTGCAGGCTCCAGCGCTCAGAGGGTAGCAGGTGCTGTCTTTATTAAAGCCAAAAAACAGAAACAGGCACCAAGATCTCTGCCACCACTGAGCAGTTTCTCAAATATACACCATTCAGAGCCAAGAAAGATGGAGATGGAGCACAAGAGGCGGGTAACTGCTCAGGTGATGGGAGTCTGATGTCAGTGATATGATGAAACCCCCCCTTCTGATTTTTCCATCAATTTTAAAATTGCCTCCCACATGTGAGGGGAGTCAATCTGCAGGGCGATCAGGACGAGGTGATTGAACCGTAGGACGTTCAACGGCTGTTAGGAGACACATCTGACTGTAAGTGATGAGGAAAACTGGTTCCATAGTATATCAACATCATGATAGAAGACCAGATATCGTCTTGTTTTGGACACCGTTATATTGTACAAGTGTTTTTACTGGTTTTAAAAGCGGCATTACATTTAAATACAAGCCATTATCTGAACATACTGGACTATTACTTGCCTCTAACCTCTCAATATATCCACATTTCTGATGGTTATTTATCAAAAATGCTTATTGCGTAGATATCAATGGTCAATAGCATAACAACATTGATGCTACACCATCACTACACACCCCCTCCCTGCATGTGTAAAGCATAGCTCCAATGTTAGCCAATGATCTCTGCAGGGGGGGGGGGGGTATTATATTTATAGAGTGCAGGAATCTGCTGTGTAGCTCAGGAGACAAAAGGAGCTAAAATTACTGTCAGTGCATCGTCCTGGAACACACGGTACACACTGCAACAACACTGCAATATATACTGTTTAATATGTGTATTACTGTTCGCTCCTTATACTGTTTTTACTGGCTGCTAATTCATCACTTCTTATGACTAGATGTGGAAGAAGTAGTCATAACTTGTACTTGAGTAAAAGTAGAAATACCAGAGGGTAGGAATACTCTGTTACAACTGCTAGTACTAGGATGGGTTAAAAGCAGAGAACACATGTCGCTGTGTGTGATACTTAAAGTACCAAAAGTAAAAGTAGTCATTGTGCAGATTGGTCCATTTCAGAATAATAAATATGATATGTTTTATAATGATTGATCATGAAAGTGTTCTCAAAGCTGGTAAAGGTGCAGCTAGTTTGAATGACTTTGTATACTGCAGGGTAGCTTGAGAATTTACTCCAGGTGGAACTAAAGACTGATTTAACACTTGGTTATATTTCACATCATCCATCCACATCTGTGAAGTAACTAAAGGTATTAAATAACTGTAGTGGAGTAAAAGTACAAAGTAGCAAAACATTGAAATACTCAAGTAAAGTACAAGTACCTCATGTTGTATTTAAGGAGAGTAGCCTACTTGAGTAAATGTACTTACTTTACATCTCTGGCTGTGACAGTCTATTTGATACATGCAGTGTCAAGTCAAGTGTGATGGACTTTGCTAAAGACATGGAATAGAAGACAGTTTATCTGGTAAAAACCTTTCCCATTGTGATTCTGAGGAGGGTCAGTTTCCTGTTGATGATGGATGCCTGCTGCTGTTCTGAAATCTGAAATGCAACAGTTTTGCGCAACAGCGTTTTGAATATGTGCGCATTTCAACATTCTGCATACATCCCCTTTATACTGAGCATTAATATAAATGCACTGTGACAGTAACCGCTCAGTGGAGGAAAGCGGAACTGACAGGTAGCACTTGTTGCTCAGTTCAGAGCAGGATGAATCACACAGAAACACACACACATGTTTTCTCACACACACACACTCAGAAAAGAAGCAGAAACAAACATGTTTGTTTTACCTTGTGCAGTTTCCACATGGCTCCAAGAGCTTTGACCTCATGCGTCCCGTGCTTGCCCTCCTCGAGACACTGGTAGCACACGGGCATCTTGCACTGCACGCAGTACATGCTCAGGTTCTCCAGCTCGTGCTCCGTGCAGGTGGAGGTTTTGCGGGGGCTCGTGCGGCGGCTGATCCGGCCCTGCGCGGGCGGAACCAGGCGGTGTTTGGCGAGCGGGCCGCGCGGGGGGTGGCAGCGCACGCGGCACGGGTCGCAGTAGAAGACGTCACACTGCTCGCACATCACCGTGGCCTCGTGAGGGGGGCTCTTCTCGCACAGCTGGCACCGGAGCGCGGCCGCCTTGCTGTGCTGGTACCGGTCCACCACCCCCTCCAGGACCCGGTTCCTGGCGAAGCCGCGCAGACCCCGCTCGTCCAGGATCAGGCTGCGGTGGCACTGCGGGCATGTGATGCAGGAGTTGCGGGGGATGGGGGGTAAAGATCCGGGCTGCAGGAGGTTCGGGGATAAGGATCCGGACTGCAGAAGGTTCGGGGATAAGGATCCGGACTGCAGGAGGTTCGGGGATAAGGATCCGGGCTGCAGGAGGTTTTGGGCTAAGGATCCGGGCTGCAGGAGGCTTTGGGGGGGAGGAGGCTGAGGGAAAACGCGCACCCCGTTTGGAGACTTCAGGCACGGGGTGGTGGGCGCGCTCACGAAGCCCCCGTAGGATCCGTACCCGCTGTCCGCCTCGCTGTACAGGCTCATCTTGTCCAGGTCCAGGTAGTCATAGTCCCCCCCAGATCTGCTCTGCGGGGAGTCATCCGCGTCGGGGGTCTGCACGAGGATGTTCCTCGCGCACGCAGAACAGATGTTGTGGGAACAGGGCAGGATGATGGGCTCCCGGAAGAAGGAGCCGCACACCGGGCACTTCAGCTCTTCCTCCATCTCGTCCATGGCTCCTGTCGGTGCTTACAGATCCGGACTGAGCTGCTGCTGCTGATCTGCGGGACAGACCTGGAGCAGAGAGAGGACTCAGCAGATCTGCACCAATAGGAAGCCAGCAGCTGGTCACGGTGCTCTCCCATTGGCTGATAAGGGGATGCTGAGCAGCCATTGGTTGGATCAGCTGTCAGTCAGCAGAGAAATGAGCTTTAAAGTCTCTGTGGACACTGGACTGATTGTTTGGAGGATTAAAAGGACTACACTTTGCTCTGAATGCATAATTAATCAAATGAGACCATGCGTCACTTATATGAAGAAAAAAACATTGTTCTAAAGATGCTCTTTAAGCTGATTAATCCTAATTTAAGAAAAAGAAAAGCAGCACAACAATGTACATTTGTTTAATTCAACCAAAATACTGAAGCGTTGTCTACAAATATCTAATGATATTTAAAGGGGCGATATTCTGCAGATTTTCAGGTTCATATTAGTATGTTGTGCTTATTTATTTAACATAATAGTATATCAAATAATTAATTTGACTGTGTTTGCTTATAAGGTTGCTTCATTAACCAACAGCTATTTTTATATTTTCATCTTCTTTCTCTTAGTGCACATGAGGTGCATTTTGGGATGTTAAGGTATAAATAACCCTGTGCAGGTTTTTCTCTGAGAGCTGCCTGTGTTTCTGTGCTGGCAGCAGCAGAGAGTTGGCGCTGACACAAATAAATATAATTCAGAAAGATTGGCCACTTTATGAACTCGCAGGCGGCTCACAGGAAGCTGCTGGCGGCGTCAGAGTGGAGATCACAGCCAGAACAATGTCATCAAACCAGGAATAACTGGGGGGGTTTGATTAAATCCAGGGAAATATTTACAGGGATGAAGTCGCCATTTGTTGCATATTTACCCAAATCTGAAGAGAATTATGAGCAGAAACAGAAAAGCTGTTAAAAAGAGACACAAAGGGTGAATAGGGTAGAAAAACGGATCTGTTTGAATTACTTGTATTATTATATATTTTGTTGTAGATATGTATTTATGTTCTTCTTGTGCTACTTTGTTCTCTGTACCTTGTTATTTTCTTTTGTATGTTATTGAGACACATTCCTGCAGGATGTTCTCCCTTACACAAAGACGTGCATATTAATGCCCTTCCTGCTTTTCAGAATATGCAGATGTCATCACACTAGAGTGGCCTCACGTTGCCCTCAGAGAGCGTCCCGTGAAATGGGATTATTTAGACCAATATCCCCATAAAAAGCCTCACTGAGGACCAACTCTGGGACCCATGTTGCCTCTGATGGAGATGTCTGAGGAGTTTAGGCTGCAGAAATGTAGAGACGAGAGAAAAACCTCCTTTATCTCCCGACGTGTCCATGTGCTGAGGAGAAGCTCTGCAAACAAACAACATCAATCCTGAGTTTACTCTGAGAGCTGCACGGCTGTTATTCTGCACCAACTGGCTCTAAAAAGTCTGTCCTGTCTGCCCTCCTCATAGAGCCAATGTTGTGCCTATACTGTAGGAGCGTGAGTGTTACAGAGTGATGTCACCATTTTTTGGAAGTAAACAAAGAAGTCCAATGCAGGGGAGAGAAACTACAGGACACAAAACACAACACTACAGGAGAGGGAACACCACAGACATGTATGGAGTGCTTCTGAAGTTTGCAAAGTCCATGCCTTTAATTAACCTTCATAAACTCTGCAGTCACTTTTATTTATTCAACACTTTTCAAATTATCTCCATCTGCAGTTATTCTATAAAAAGCCCAAAGTCACTGCGACCCCAGATCTCATGATTATTTATTCTGCTCCATCTGTGCCCTTCACACCCACCTGAACAAAAAATTACATATATATTTTCATCATGCAGTGTTTGTAAATTAGACCTCCAGGGGGAAACTTCAATGTATGGTTATTGTTTGCAATATCCACAGAATTAATGATAGTAAACACGACGTAGAAATGTGTTTCTGAAGATATTAAAGTGTGATTTATCCTGGAGAACAATAAGAAGAGGTAACAGAAGTTTAAATTTGGGATCCTCTCATGCTGATGTTCAGGTGTATATCAGTATGTAGTATCTCTACTTTAAAGAGTCCTCTCCTGCTGATGTTCAGGTGTATATCAGTATGTAGTGTCTCTACTTTAAAGAGTCCTCTCCTGCTGATGTTCAGGTGTATATCAGTATGTAGTGTCTCTACTTTAAAGAGTCCTCTCCTGCTGATGTTCAGGTGTATATCAGTATGTAGTGTCTCTACTTTAAAGAGTCCTCTCCTGCTGATGTTCAGGTGTATATCAGTATGTAGTGTCTCTACTTTAAAGAGTCCTGTCCTGCTGATGTTCAGGTGTATATCAGTATGTAGTGTCTCTACTTTAAAGAGTCCTCTCCTGCTGATGTTCAGGTGTATATCAGTATGTAGTGTCTCTACTTTAAAGAGTCCTCTCCTGCTGATGTTCAGGTGTATATCAGTATGTAGTGTCTCTACTTTAAAGAGTCCTCTCCTGCTGATGTTCAGGTGTATATCAGTATGTAGTGTCTCTACTTTAAAGAGTCCTCTCCTGCTGATGTTCAGGTGTATATCAGTATGTAGTGCCTCTACTTTAAAGAGTCCTCTCCTGCTGATGTTCAGGTGTATATCAGTATGTAGTGTCTCTACTTTAAAGAGTCCTCTCCTGCTGATGTTCAGGTGTATATCAGTATGTAGTGTCTCTACTTTAAAGAGTCCTCTCCTGCTCTGATTGGTTAGCTGGTCGGCTCTGTTGTGATTGGTCAACTGCTTAGAGATGTCCCGCCCCTTAGCCTATCACATACAATGTGTTGGAGCGCAGAGAAACTCCCTCTGGAGGGAACTCTTCTGACCATTCACATGCACACAAACCAATAGAACACACAACAGGAGAGGGAACACCCCCTAAAGCATAATATAATATCTTTAAAACATACAAACAGTGTGATATGTTTTAAATCAGTGTATCTTTAGGCATCATTTATGTGACTAATATAGTCGTGTAGCTCAACAGGACCTCACTTTATAGTGTTTTTTACCAATCAGCGCCTACCTCTTACTCTCAATAACCCAGAGTGTCAGTGAAATGAAGAGTAATGTTGTTGTGCGGGGTGTAGATGGATTCCCTGATGAGTAACTTATTGTTTCCCCTTCTTCACATCCCCACCCCCACACCCAGCAGCCTGCAGGGAACCCCCCCCCCCCCCCACACACACACACACACACACACACACACACACACACACACACACACACACACACACACACACACAACACACACACACACACACACACACACACACACACACACACACACACACACACACACACACACACACACACACACACACACACACCATCTAATGGAGTCAGCTCCTATTACTGCAGCTTTGTTAGAGAGTACTCCTCCGTTTGCCTCAGAACACTGAACAGGTGCGGGGAAATGGAGAATGAGCATCTAAGAAAAGCTACTTCTGAATAGTTTGCATGTCCATTGATTGCGTTTAAAGACAGTGTTTATGCACAGTGTCAGATAAAGATAAGACTACACTAATATTAAGTATTATAAGTAACCCTTTTACTCTTCCCACGGCGGGGACATTTACGCTGTCAGAGCAACAAAGGTACAGTATAAAGAGTAAATGTACATGTTGAAAGAGGTACTATTCTGCGTCTTGGGGCTTTCCCTCTCCTTTAGTGTGTTATAGGTTGATGTGCATGTGAACGGTACATACTAACCTGAATAATACGTCCTCTTTAAGCTCAGAAACACCTGAATATGACTGATTGGATGTTTAGAAATAATCAACATTTTGTATTCTATGTCCTATCCCTGTCCAACCTCAGAGCACATTACAACACACACACACACACACACACACACACACACACACACACACACACACACACACACACACACACACACACACACACACACACACACACACATACACACAACACACACACACACACACACACACACACACCATACACACACACACACACACACACACACACAGCCCACACACACACACACACACACACACACATACCATGTATACATCACTTCAGGGGACATTACATTGACTTACATGTATTTCCTGGAGACTTACCCTAACCTTAACCATAACCAACACAACCCTAACCCTAACCCTAACCCTAACCCTAACCCTAACCCTTACCCTAACCCTAACCCTTACCCTAACCCTAACCCTTACCCTTACCCTAACCCTTACCCTTACCCTTACCCTAACCCTTACCCTAACCTAACCCTAACCCTTACCCTTACCCTTACCTTACCCTTACCCTTACCCTTACCCTTACCCTTACCCTAACCCTTACCCTAACCCTTACCCTAACCCTTACCCTAACCCTAACTCTAACCCTTACCCTTACCCTAACCCTTACCCTAACCCTAACCCTTACCCTAACCCTTACCCTAACCCTAACCCTTACCCTTACCCTTACCCTAACCCTTACCCTTACCTTACTTTAGGTCCCCACAAGTATAGTAATGCTATATGTGTAAATATGCACATTGACATTGAATGTTATCTCATTGCACTGTCATCGCTACTACCTCTGCTTTTACCACTCTTATTTATTTATAGTGTATATTTTTTACTGCAGTGAGAGTTGCCAAATAAATGTTGTTGTACTTTGTATGATGACAATACATATATATTCTATTCTATTCTATTCTATACTCAGGTTTCTATGAGGAGAACCCTTTGTGCAACAGGAGAGCAAATCCACCTCCTTTAAATCAAACATGATTCTATGATTTGCAGACAGTTTGCATGCAGAGTTGCAGACGAGGAGGTGCTGCTGCACGCTGAGTCCTTTCCTGCACATGTCTCTTCACTCAGCCCACACACTCAGAGAAAGGACACTCACACTTCACTATGTGCTGCTCTCCATTAAGGACATACAGCAGTGATTGATGTTGTTTTGTGTCCTTCACCATAACTCTGACCCTGAATGCTGTGTGCAGAGAAAAGGAACTCTAATGTTTAGATGCCTCTGATTTTCCTTT